GGCTCTGTGCCAACAGCTGAGAGCCTGGAGCCTGCTTCCAATTCTGTGTCTCCTTCTCTCTTTGCCCCCCACCCCTACTCATGCCCTCTCAAAAATAAGAAAATACATACATACAAATACTTCTGATAAATGAAATATTATTGACAAATTTAAGGTAGGCTGCTCTGAATCTGGATTATATAGGCAAAAAGGATTTTTTTAAAACTGTCCATCAATTGATTACATATTAAAAGAAAAATAAGTCAAATTCTCTCTTTGTGATAACAACTCTTTAAATGTCTAAACAATGTCTACTTTTTATGAGTGATTAATATTTATTGTACTAAATAATCTATTAATTTTAAATCATTAAAGTTAATATTTATGATTAAATTTTCTAGTGATGGGTGGAGAGTGGGAGGAGCCAAGCATATTATGGATTTAAAGGTTCTCACCATATCCCAGCTGGGAGAAGATAAAGTCAAATTCCTCGATGGTGTGGATACTGGCTAGATCGCCACCTTCCTTCCTACATGCAGTCAAGGCATCTCTTTGGATCTTCTTCTCCTCTCTGTAAATCTTGTAACAGTGACCTACATATGGCCACCACTGGCTTGGACAGTTAGTGGGCACATCACTTTCTAGAGAGAAAAGAGTTTGGAAAACATTTAAAAGGGAAGATTGTTTTAATTATAACAGAAGTTTCTATCATTCTATATAAAAAAGCAGTTCATAGTTATAAGCAAATAAAGGTAACATTTGTTTTTCATTTTTGGCATGCATATTCACAAAAGATAAAGCAGGTTGTGTTTGCTTTTCGACTACAAACTATATGAATCCATTTTTCATTTTAAAATAAAACTAGGGGTGCCTGGGTGGCTCAGTTGGTTGAGAGTATGACTTTGGCACAAGTCATGATCTCACGATTCGTGGGATCATGCCCCAGGTCAGGCTTTGCGCTGACAGCGCAGAGCCTGCTTTGGGTTCTCTGTCTCCTTCTCTCTCTGCCTCTCCCTCACTCGTGCTCTCTCTCTCTCTCAAAAGTAAACATTAAAAAAATAATAAAATAAAATAAAGCTAAGTGTGAAAATTCTTTTAAAAAAATTGTACCTGCAAAGCCACACAAAAATGCAATAGATTGTCTCATTTTATCATCAGCAAACCTGCACTAAGCATGTTACATAAATGCTCGAGGCACAGAAGATTTGACAGACAATACACTCCTTGAAAGATTTCAGTTTACTGCTATTTTATGAACAGTAGGGAGCCAATCACTGCTCAGAAGAAGGACAATACTCACAAAACAGGCACAAAAAATGTGTTAACGTGGGGAATAGAATGGGTGGGGGCAGAAAGGCCAAGAAGGAACCACAGAGACCCCAACGGCGGCATTTGGCTGCCAGGGCCACTCCCTCTGGCTTGCCCCCCACAAGATGGCACATGATACTCTGGAGATCACAGGGAATTAGATTCAGAACCCTTCAGGCAACACCTGAATTTGCCATGAGTTGTGTGACCTTGGGCAAGTCACATCACGTGAACCAAAGTATCCATATATATAAAAACACTTCCATAATAGTAATACTAATACTAATATTAAACTACCCATCCTCACTGCGTTCTTCTGAACCAGAAAGCATCTGAGATAATGTTCCTATAAACTGCAAATACCACACAATATTATTTAAGTCAACGTGTAATAGTGGTCAATATCCTAATTATTACTACTAATAGTTACGGGCGAATTTCATAAATCTTGGTTTCACGTTGCAGAAAAAATGTACTCTAGTAGTAACGAGCTGGGGAAAGTGAAGGGAAAGATATTTGTAGGCAGAGATCCACATTATTCCTCCTTGTACACCCTAGAACCAGCATGGGGCAGGTGTGATGAGTGGTGGTTGAGAAAAAGAACTGAAGATATATGTGATGCACAGCAGCTTTGCATTACCATTTACAGAAACTCTTTCAAACTGCAATTTAGCAATGCACCTTGCTTAAAGAGGGACTAGATTACCAAATGAAGGTTAATTTGCATATTTGTTTGGTAGTAAATGTTCTCAGAAGTGCTCCCTTAGTAAATGTTCAATACAGTGAATGTTTGCTCTTCAATTCATGAATCCCTTCAAGTCATTTTTCCTTAAAGACTAAGACTGCCACATCTTTGAGTCCAGGATTCTGTTTACAGTAGTCATTTAAGTGAACAGTCACCCACGATGACTGCATTATTGTAACAGGAAAAAATGCACATACTTAAAAATTCTAGCCCCTCAATACAATTGAGATATTGTGCACTGTCATGTTACAAAGGAAGAGAGGAAAGAAGGGAGGGAGGGAGGAATGGAGAGAGAGAGAGAAAGAAAGAAAGAGAGAGAGAGAGGAAGGAAGGAAGGAAGGAAGGAAGGAAGGAAGGAAGGAAGGAAGGAAGGAAGGAAGGAAGGAAGGAAGGAAAACTTAGTATAGCTTTGGAGCCCTCTGGTGGGGTATTTTGATTTTGCTAACTAGGAAAGTGAAAATAATGCAGCCAATACTGAGGACCTCAAAAACTGAACAGAGGACCTTTAAAAATAACTAAAAACATGAAGATTGCCAATGAAAATGAGTGCCATGGGACAGCCACAAAAGATCATCTGCTCCTGTAGAGCGATACTGTCTAACGGAGACATAACGTAAGCCACAAGTGAGTGCCACATATATACCTTTAAATTTGCTAGTAGCCATGTTAAATAAAAGTAAAAAGAGAAATGGGTAAATTTAATGTTACTGATGTATTTTATTTAACCCAGTATATCCCAAATATTATCATTTCAACATATAATCGATATATAAAAAATAAATAATGAGATGTTTTACATTTTTGCATGCTAAGTCTTGAAAGTGCAGTATGTATTTTATGCTCAGAGCAGTTCAGACCAGCCAGGCTTCATGCTCTCAGTTCCCACTGTGGCTCAGTGGCTACCGAACTGGACAATGCAGGTCTAGAGAACCAAGATTCGTGAACAAACAAGCTAGCATTAGAAGGAACAACGAGGTGTGGGGGGGGGGGGGCACCTGGGTGGCTCAGTCAGTTGAGCATCCGACTTCAGCTCAGGTCATGATCTTGCGGTCCATGGGTTCGAGCCCCACATCGGGCTCTGTGCTGACTGCCATCTCAGAGCCTGGAGCCTGTTTCAGATTCTGTGTCTCCCTCTCTCTCTGCCCCTCCCCAGCTCATGCTCTTTCTCTCTGTGTCTCAAGAATAAATAAAAAACATTAAAAAAAAAAAAAAGACCAATGGGGTGCAAGGCAGAACTCCTGCCCAAGAGGGTCACCAATCATGGGCACTGCATCATTTTCACTCTCATATGCTTTTACCAGCCTTGGTTGTTTTGAGCTTATAGATAAGAAAGAACAATTAATCCAGGAAAAATAGAGAAATTCAAAGTGAAGGTGAGGCATAGTAGACAGAAGTAGACAGATAAGAATAATTTACTGAATGCTTGACGGTATGAACAAATTTTCACAGGAAGAACAGGTATTATTATTTCCCTTACAGATGAGGAAGCTACAACTGGGGATTAAGGAACAAGGTCAAGTTCCAGAATTCTGCTTCCTGAAGCAAGGAAGCTATAAAACAACCATTCTCCTTTCCCCCAAAGTGGCAATTCCAATCTTCCGAAGAACTGTATGATCTTTTCCAAGACAAAAGAAGAATCCTATTTCTCCTACAGGAGGAATGGAGGAGATGAAGTACAAGAACGACTGAGGTTAAAATGGTGCCTCTGTAAATATCAAACCCAAGAACCAAATATCATCAAACCCAAGAACCACGACCCTTACTGTACCCATTGGAGATCTCGATCATATGTGTATCTATTAAAATTGCGAACACACCCACTCTCTGATCCAGCAATGCCACTGCTAGGAATAATCACAAGCATGAAATGATACGTGTATAAAGTTAGTTGCTGTGGGATTGTTTATAATAATAAAAAAAGCTGGAAGTAAATTGAAGGTCCAGTAATAGATGGATGATCTCTCTCTGCAATGCAGCCATAGAAACAAAGAGGCTATTAATGTCTAATAAGGAAAGATGTCCAAAATTTTTAAGTGCAAAAAGTAAAGAATGTATGTATCATAGGCTGCTACTTGTATAAAACAGACAAAAATAATTATTAGCATATTTGTTTATATATTTATCAAATACCCAGGTGAGGGTAAATACCCAGAAACAGTTCTTTACCAGGGAGGAGAAATGCATAGAGATGGAAGGAAAATACTATTATTTTCTGCCATTTTGTACCTTTTGATTTTCCAGCCACGCAATGAAATTGATTTTAAAAGTCAAGGAGAAAACTCAAGAATGCCACGCTGTCAGATTTCTGCAAAGAATCCATCCAGCTTTCCAGCCAGCCAGGCAGCCCTTTAGAGCAGTAAGTATCTCTCCGATATCAGCTTGCAATGAAAAAAGTGCAGGTTGTTTGCTTTTTGCTGATTTGAAAAGAGGCTGCATTCTCGCCTTAGTAATTAAATTCTTCGATAAAATTATAAGAGAGAGCATGATGGGATTCTTTTCCCAGAGTCTAGCTGGTATGTAAAATTCAGTTCATACCTTTGGGATGTCTTCTCCCATTTCTGTGAAGACTTCTACTTGAGATGCGAAACTTACACCATTAGAGTTCATGTGGAACCTTAAGTGGTGAGAATATAATAACGTCCCTTTCAGATATGTATTTCCTAGCTTGGGTTCCAGTTTTGTCACATGTGCAAGTTTCATATATCCTCTGAATATCCTTCTCCTCATCTAGAATGTGTGAACGATCATGCCTATCCTACAGAGCTGCTATGAGGACAGAATTCTTATTTCTGTTCTTTTAAAGGCTTGGTGCATGATCCGAGCACTAGAGCACACTCTGGAAATGTTAGCGACCATTACCAGTAACCAAGAAAAAGAGGTTCTGCAGGAATATCATTATGTTTAATCCATAAATTATCAACAAAACCTGCCATTTCACGCAGTTATGTAAGCCATAATTTTCTTCTTTAAATGATAATATTTTATATACTGCAGATCAAATGGACCACTTACCAGAGGGAATCACAAAAGAATTCAGAGTTGTGTTGCCTTTTTTGCAAATATAGCCTAGTTTCTGAACACATTCCAGATTTTCCCATTTAGCATTTTTCCCGGGATTTAATGACACGCAGCTTTTTCCAGGTTCTGTTGATGGACTTCCTGTGGGGAAAAGGAAAAAATCACAGTGGGATTATCATAGGTAATACAAGTAAATAGCCCCCCTAAACTCTCATATCTTCATCCTTGGAATTTAATGGATCTCCATTCTGTCTTCTGCTGTAAATTCATCGATAAATCTTTACTGACTACAGAGCAAAAGAGGTGTTGGGTGTCTATTTCTTTTCTTGTTGTTGGATGATTTCAGTGTCTAAAGTGTTGATTATACAAGTTCACTTCTCTGAAATAACTTTTTTTTCCCACCATATCAACAATAAAGTCTAGACCTTATGATCCTGAACAGTCTTCACACTGGGCTTGTTATATAAAGCACTTGGTTATATAAAGCAGAGAGGTACCTAACAAAATACAAAAGACAGGATGTACCAAAGCAGCCATATGAAAAACTGTGAACACCTCCCAAAAAGCTAAGTAAGGCTAACCATGAGGAGCAAACTAGAGAATTTCTGAATGTGGGAAAACTTTCTTCAATTAGGGAGAGGAGACAGGAGAGGAAGACAGTGAAGAGGAGAAAGACCAGAGAAGGAAAGTTTGGGGAACATCATGACACGAGAAAGGCCAATCGAGTAAACCCAAAACTAAGCTTTCTCAAGATTTTCAACCCAGCCTACTGAAGATTTTTGACTGCTAATCCCTCACTCTGTATCTTACTGAAAACTGATAAAAGAACCAGATAAAGTCAACTTTGGGAAGACAATGTACATATGCAGTGGTACCCACAACTCTCATGCATTTCTGCTTGTAAATATAGGATTTTAAAAACAGGACTCTGAAAACTAGCTCCATCTCACACCTGACTATGGGTAATGAGCCACATTTTATTAATGATGCTGCTTTGTGACCTGTGACATGTATATAATGTGGGCCTGGACCTCACTTTCCCTTCCTGCAAGATGGGAATCATATCACCTGCTCCGCAAAGCTTTTGTCAAATTTTTTTTTAAAACTAGTGGAATAGCACACAAAGGAAATTGTTGTTAGCAATAAGGACTTTGATACAGCAATTAGTTGTCATTAAATGGCTACCACAGTCATGTGTTCTAATTCAGACTTCTACATCATTTGTATAAAACACCCTCACTTCAAATGTGAATGTGTTTTCATCGATGTTTTACTTGGTAAGTATTCAATTGAATGCTTGATCAAATACTGTATGCAATAAAAGCTTCTGATATTCCACATGGTTTCTAATTTTAGTTTGGAGAAACTCTCCTATTATTTCAGAAGGTGATTTAATCTTGCACCTACTACTTCTCAGGAATTTGGTTTACTTCCTTTTCCTTTCTCATTAGTATTCCAATTTCACTCCTCACTTTCACCGAAGTTAACCCCCCTATTTTCTCACTGAACTCTAGGGATGCACGTGGTTAAGTATTACAATAATAACTCCAAAAGTGCATGATAAATAAAGTGACTTGCTCAAAGTATGATAATTAAGCAACAAAGAGTAAATTCTATTTCCTGAAAAAAAAGAAAAAAAGATCATTATCTAATGATCTGATAGAGCCCAACTGCCATTCTCCAATTTAATCGGACATTAATCCTCACCCACAAAACAGACATCTGATATTGCCTTGCAATGTCTGTCCCATATTGTAGGGACAAATAGAGAGGACTCTAGTGACAGTCCTGTAACTATGCATGGAAGGAATGCATTGGAAGTGGAATTTCAGATTTAAAGCAAATCAATTTAAACCAAAATATATCCTCTAAAAATTCCCTTTTGTGTTTCGGCATCGATTCTGAATAATCTCTTACTATTTATTTATTTATTTATTTATTTATTATTTTCAAAGACTTTATTTCCTTTAAATACCATCAGTCAGTAGTACAGAATAGAGTTTAATTTCCTAAGCCAGATGTAAAACCCATTCATTAGCTTTTAAGAAAGAAGTATGACCATATGAAGAAACATATTTCTTGAAGCAGAGCTAGCAAATGAAGATGTGACCCATCCTTTCCCACAACCATGGCAGACATTGGTAATCATTAATTGCACTCTGCTAAAAAATCAAGATTAGTAGGGGTTAGGGGTGGAGGTCAAGGTGGGGAGCATTGAATCAAACTCAACAGAGTTCCTTGGGCAGCTTCTAATAATGGTTGGTATTGGTCAACAAGGTACAAGTTTTTTTTTATCACCTTTGGTCTTTTTGTTTTCTCTAAAGAATTGCTGTATGTATAAAACATATTTGTTATTTAGTCTCCTTTATGTTGTTACCTGTATGTTAAGACAATGTAGACATGTAGTTCAGAGCATTTTCTGTCCTCCAAAAAATCAGAAAGCTGTTGAAGACTTGATCATCACCCAACTGTGTGTGTGTGTGTGTTTTACAATTAAACTACAAATTGCAAACAAAAGTCTAATGCATTATTATGCTAGTATGGAATATCATCATCTGTGGCTGTAATATTATTTTAATCCAATCTATTAGATTAACAATTGGAGAAAATGATGTTAATGTAGACCTTAAGATCATTATGACGATGACAGATATATCGCAAATATCTCAGGGCTCACAATAATGAGAAATTGTCCAGCCCCCAATAATTCATATTTGCTTAAATTCATACTTTGTGTGTCTATAAATAAATACATATGAAATCTTGAATATACTATATAGAATTATACAGTATATATATATCATAAGTATACATTTTATACATAAGCACTTTCAACTGGAACACTGTAAAATTCAAAAATGTGATTTTGAATATAATACCTAGCAAATCAAGGATACTCAGAAAATGTACACTTTCAAAGAATCCTGTATTGATCTGTGTGCTTATCCTCTCAGACAAATCCCTATCCTGGGACACAAGTATACCCTTATGGTTTTAGTATACACAAATCATGTTGGCAGATTTCAAAGCGACTTCAAATTCTTTCCTTTGAACCCTACATGCGAGATCATGAAGATCTCCCTGGTCTCCAGATAAACTGAATTTAGATGAGTCTATCCACAGGCAAGCTGAACCCTACCTGGTAGCCAGTTCAAATATCGGAATGGGCTCCCACCACTCCACTGCCAGCCACTGTTGAAACTCAGGCTATTGAGTCCAATCCAGAGTCCTGAAGTCAAGGAACTGGTTAATCCTATAGAACAAAAGCAAAAACAAAAACAAAACTGACATTTGGAAAAGACAATGAAATCAAATGCACTTAAGCACTTGACTCAAAATGTATTTGAGGGAAGTAATAAAAAACCATGCCTAACATTTCTCCTTTGATTCTCCTAACAACCTGAGGTAAACTACTATTTCCATTGGCTGATAAAGAAACGGAGGGAAGAGTGTAAGATTCTTACTAAGACCTATTAAGATTCCTTCTGAGCTTCTAACTCAGATCTGACCAGGCTTCAACCCCACCATCTTGAAAATGCTGGTGTGAATTTGCTTTTCATTTCTCTATCCTCAAATAATAACATGACTTCATTTTAGAGCACAAGGTTTATTTTGGATAAAATTCAAAGTTTTCTACCATAAAAATGTTTAATAAACAGTTTGATCTATCAGTCTCAGAAATTATTACCCAGTCTTACATTCTAGAACTTATCCTAAGAATTTTATTTCATGACATTTTTAAAAATCACTTTTCATTAAGATTTTGCTTAAATTCTAAGAGTAAAATCTTTGGCTAACATGAATGACTCTTTGCTTATGCACTTCATAAAATCATAATTATATTATTCAAATTCTGTGTCAGGCCTGATACGGAATAAAAAAACAAGCCACAAGGACCTCAGCCCTCCAGAGTCAAACACTCTCATCTGTTACTACCTAAAGGTTTTTAAACTTATTTTTTTTTAATGTTTATTTATTTTTGAGAGACAGAGAGAGACAGAGCATGAGTGGGGGAGGGACGGACAGACACACACACACACACACACACACACACAGAATCTGAACCAGGCTTCAGGCTCTGAGCTGTCAGCACAGAGCCCAACACGGGGTTCAAACTCATCGACTACAAGATCATGACCTGAGCCAAAGTTGGACGCCTAACCGACTGAGCCACCCATACGTAGTGTTTTGTTTTAAACATTTTTAAAACAAATTCTCTGTTCTCTTTTTAGTTGATTGAAGAGTTTATCAAACACAAAACTGTCCTTTGTCTTTCATAAAATACCAAACTTAGGTGAGTATTCTTGTCAAGGTGAGAATTATCACTTACTCTATTCTGAGCCCTGTATTTCTCACAAACTATGATAATGTCTCATGACACTGAAGCCCTGACTCTTTAGTTCTGATGTTACCAAACCGAGCTCTCTCAACGTTGCTACCATTTTCCCTAATTTTTCATTAGCACACATTAGGCACACATTTGTGTCACCAATTCAAATGAATCAAAGTTACAGTGACTCAGTAAATAATCATATCTCACATTTATTACATCCACTTCCATAAAAGTGCAAATGACTGTCTTAGAGGTCATGTGACCTGAGTGTTGCACTCAGTTTACTTCGCATCTGGCAGAGATGTACTTGCAAAGGGAGGTGAAAAATACCCACTTGAGGGTATTGATTATCCTCAAGTTGAGCGTGATTAGGTTGATGGTGATTAGGTGGACTGATGTTTAACAAACAGAACTGAACTCAATCCTGGAGTCAATACTGAAACAGAAACCCTATGGTGGGATTTCTGTAAATAAATAATAAAATAACAATGGGATGAAATTAAATGCTGGAATGTAAAAATCAGTAAAAATTAATTCCGATTTGCTCGTTTTTATCAAGTGTTCTGGAAGAAAAGTTTGAGTTAGCACAGCTCTTACATGTAGGTACTTTATGTACCCTGGGAAGTATCTAGCCCAATTCTTTCATTTTATAGAGGAAAAACCAGAGACACAGACATTGAGATACATGGGGAATGAAGTAGAGGATTAGTGGATCAGGATTGGAACTCAGGGTTCAATGTGGTTTCTCCAGTGGATTTGATTCCTGTTCAAATTAAACTTACCTATGAATTACTACCCTTTCTAGATATATTATGCTTTCTAGATAACTCTCAATGTTAGGGCACCTTTAAATAAACAATGGTGAACTAGACAGATATTTCTGATACACGTCATTCCTTCCCAGCCCACAGCCCATGCCAGAACTCACTCTTGTCACCTGTGAAGACTCAAGTTCTGGTTCTCCAAAGTTGAAATCTTACCCCAAACTAGAAATGTTTACTGTACACTATACCAAGGGGATGACATTATCAAAAAGGGAGTCTTTATATTTCTTTAGTCTTAAATCTCTGGGATGAGCACATCAAGGATGACTGCATTCATTTAAAAAAATAATAATACAGCGATAACAATTTATTCACGTGAAATCAATGTTCTATTCATCTTATCAATGGCTTCCTTTTAGTTTCTTAATTATTTTTACAGATAGTAAAAACATAGTTATTAAAACTATTTTGAGTACAATATTATTGCTTATATAACTTTATTTATGTATATAAATAAAGGATATAACTTTAGGATAAGTTAAAGAAACCAACTAAAAAATAGTGTCCTACCTCATTTATGAAATGGGTAACTTGTAATATGTCAAGAGGAAACACTTGTCTACCAGGCTATGCCTTAAAAATGGTGTCATATGGATACTACATTGTATGTTAATAATTGCTCTGTTAAATACCATTGAGCCCTGAATGATTTTTTTCATAAATTATTTAAAATTGCAGTAACTTGAATAATAATTATCTCTGGACTTGCAGAGGTGGATACTCGAGGAAAGGATGCTGACAGTAGCGTTTCGCAAATATTAAATACAGCTATTTCCCAAAGTCAAATACCCTGATGTTTTAAAAAATTTATTAGTTAAGAAAATACACACTTGTACATTTTCAAAACTATAAATAATTCACTGGCTATAGGAAAAACTAAAGTCGATTTTCATCTGAGACTGCTGAAATTACTATGTTGGGCATACCAAGAAAAGATGATAGGTTCTTAAGGGAATTATCTATTCTCTGACATCCCACATCTGCTGTAGGTACTTGTAGGCTTATTTTGAGAAATTAAATTAATGATTACTTCTCAAAACCAGGGCCTAACACATAACAATTGCCCAATAAATGTAAGCTGTCTTCTTATTATTATTATTACTCTTTGTTGAATCAAACAAGGCACAAAGTGTGATTAGAAACAAAATTCAAATTTTGTGTTAAATATGTCACTTAAAGCAGACAGTCATCATCCACAAATGTCTTTCTCGAATGTGCTGTTCTAATTTCATAGAGGGACCAAGGCTTTGTTAGCATTACAACACAGAGTATCAATTCCGCACACTGAATGTTTCGATTCTTGATTTTTCTGCACAATAGTCTGAAATGGTTATCCACCTGCTTTGGCACTTATTTCTAACAGATGATGTATTCATGTCCAGTGTTACACTTGGCTTTCATCTGCTCTGTATCGGGGTTCAGTTCTTTTTCCAGCCAGCCCTGAAAACAATCAGGGTAAGGAGCCAACTTTCAGTTCCTACATCTTATCTCGGTTCTGTAAATCCTAAACCTACACATGTGTGGCTAGAACTCTGGTTCAGGAATTGAGGATTAAATAGTGTCCCAGCATTTGGGGGGTAGAAACGGAAGTGAGGATATGATGCAATGTGTGTGGATGATGTAAAGAAAGTACCACTGGGCAGAGTGGTTAAACCCTGAGGGCAAAGGGAAATCAGACTTAGTTTATAAAATTTTTTTTTAATGTTTTATTTTTATTTCTAGGAGGGAGAGAGAGACAGACAGACAGCGTGAGCAGGGGAGGGTCAGAGAGAGAGGGAGTCACAGACTGAAACAGGCTCCAGGCTCTGAGCTGGCAGTCAGCACAGAGCCCGACGCGGGGCTCGAACCCACGAACCGCGAGATCCTGACCTAAGCGAAAGTCGGACGCTTAACCGACTAAGCCACCCAGGCGCCCCTAGACTTAGTTTAGACTAAGTTCACTGGACAAGGGAGCTGTTCACAGCTAAATTAGGGTTCTCCTTAGTGCCTCGGGGACCACCAGATCCTTGCTCATTTTGTGAGTAGGACCCATGCAGAGTGAAATGGAAAGATGGTGCCCAGTTCCAACCCAACTATTTTCTGAACAGGAGGCAGTGGGCAAGTGTCAAGCTTCTCCCGTCTAGTCTGCTATTTCATCTATAAAGCGGAGACAATAATATTCATTTAGGAGGTAGGCATGAGCTTTAGAAAGAAAGCCCAGCACCCGGAATACAGCATCTGCTCAATAAATGGCAGCTCACTGGATGTGAGACTCATAGAAATGACGTAGACATTTAAAAAAATTATATTTACTGCTCACAATCCTTGCATAGAATAAACCTTATTTAAGAGTCTATTTTTTTTTATTTTTTAATGTTTTTATTTATTTTTGAGAGAGAGAGAGACAGCATCAGCAGGGGAGGGTCAGAGAGAGAGGGAGACACAGAATCCGAAGACAGGCTCCAGACTCTGAGCTGTCAGCACAGACCCTGATGCGGGGCTCAAACCCACGAACTGTGATATCATGACCTGAGCCGAAGTCAGGCTTAACCGACTGAGCCACCCAGGTGTCCCAAAAGTCTCACTATCTAAAAAGAGTATAACTATTTGTGGGTATTTTTTTTTAGTGGCCTATTTCCCCCAATAGATCATAGTCCTTCACTCACACCATTATTTTCTAGATTCTTCCCCCAATACATTCCAATAAATCCTGAATATCATGAATATCTTCCCTCCCAAGCACAAAATTGTGTTTTATTTTATGAATTCCCCTTCAGGCTTTTTTTCCCTCCTGAATGCATGATATTTTTGACTTAAAGGAAAGCAGAAAATACTCCAAACTTCATTAAAGAAATCACTCTTATCCAGATTTCAGTTAAAATTTGCTGACTACAATTCCGGAGGCTTGGATAAGATTCAAATAAGTATCTGAGGTGACCTGAGCCTCTGAATCTCTTCGGGCTTGTTGGCTGTCCTGGGGGACACAGTAATAGCGCTGGCTGATTAGGAAAGCATTTCTGGCAGAGCTGCTCTGCAGGCATCAGGGCATCACCCCTTCCCTCTAGGCAGCTGGTGAAGGCAGTGAAAAAGTAACCTGTGCTCAGTTCCTTAGCTTCCAGAAAGCCAGAAATCCGGTAAAACTCAGAAGAGCCCAGATAATACAACCCACAGAATCCCTTAAAAAAAAGAAAAGCCAATTGAAACAATTTCCATTTCTTTTTGAAGTTTTTATTTTAATTCCAGAATACCTCACCCAGGTTTCCTCACAAGTGTTCTCCTTAATCTCATAGCCTATTTCACCCATCCCCCACCTGCCTCCCCTCTGGTGACCATCAGTGTATTTTCTACAGTTATGAGTCTCTTTCTTGGGCGCATGCTCTCTCTCTCTCTCTCTCTTTTTCCCCTTTGCTCTTTAGTTTGTTTCTTAGCTTCCACATACGAGTGAAATCATATGGTATTTGTCTTTCGTTGACTGGTTTAGAAACCTTTTCAACTTTGAGAGACTTCTGTCACCCACGCCAGCAGACACAGATAGCACCAGGGTTGTCTTAAATCATCCCTCCTCGTCCTTGATCATCTACATGAAATTAGTTTTGTCTCTTTCTGTGCTTTCTGTCCTTATTGATATACATGGTTGTAAACATTAGTCACTCCGACACAACACCCCAACACTACAAAGGCCCCCCCAGACTACACAAAACAGAACCATTGAGCAGTCTGAGGCATGATTCCTTCCCTGAGCTTATGAATACACAGTGTGGTCAGATTATTTTTCTCTTGTCAGTCTCACTTATAAGCCCCAGGATCAGCTGGATGGCTGAGAATATGCTGATTCTTGGCCCCTGTACCTACTGATCTAGCATCTCTGGAATTTGTGCTCACACGGCTTTATTTTAACAAAGTTCCCTGGTGATTAATAAGCAACTTCACATTTACGAACCACTGCACTGTCTCTGCCATAAGCTGCCTGGCTGTCTAAGCACGAGGCTGGATTTCTAGATAATTATTTTCATTGTGCTACACCGTCATTTGTCGGTCAGCAGACATTCATTGAGACTCCCTTCCTTGGAAGGTTCTGTGTGAATCTCTTGGGGGGTTGGGAGGCATAAATACTCATGAGACATTCCTCATTTTCAGCCATTTGCTGTTATTATCCTTTCTCCACATAGCCTTCAGTTTGCTTTCTTCGTGGCACTTAAATGTCACATGTATTTATCTGTTTGTTTTCTTGTTTATTTCTGTTCTGCCCACTGGACTTTAAGCTCCATGTAGACAGGACATGACTGGCTTTGATCACCACTGTGTCCCTATAACCTAGCATAATACCTCACACACAGGTACCAGCCACCTTGTTGAAAGATGAATGAAAAATAACAAATAAATGTATTTCTAGTCTTGTAGGGGAAGTACGACATGTATGTAAGTAGCTATTATAAAAGCAGTAAAAGCAGGGGCACCTGGGTGGCTCAGTCGGTCAAGCATCTGACTCTTGGTATGGGCTCAGGTCATGATCTTACAGTTCACAGGTTCGAGCCCCACATCGGGCTCTGTATGACAGCTTGGAGCCTGGAGCCTTCTTCAGATTCTGTGTCTTCCTCTCTCTCTGCCCCTCCCCATGCTTGTGCTCTGTCTGTCTCTCTCTCTCAAAAATAAACATTAAATTTTTTTTAATAAATAAGTCAAAGCACTAAACAAAGAAGAGAAATCTAGACGGAAATGGATAAGATTGCATTTCAGCTGTGTAAAATTTTGGCAATCCCAGGTACAAGAAATGGCATGAGATTTGAAGATGTGGTGGTGAGAAAGTATGAGATAAAGATGAGAAACCCAAAAGCCTTCTGTCAAGACTGCAAAATGCATCTGTCAGGGGGCAGATGACGGCCTCTGAATGCCAGGGAAAGATGTTTTGTTAATTACTTGATAGGAAATAAGAAGCCACTTAGGGCTTTTTGAGCACGGGGGTCATAGGCTCAGAGATACATTAATCTGGTAGCAGTGTCAGGGGGACCTGGAGGGAGGAGATCTGGAACAGGGGATCAAGGATGCTTTTCCTCCCCACTCGTTTCTGCTCCTAATCTCTCCATTCCCCAGGTGTGGATTTCAGAAGCAAACACAAATACTTTCAAGCAAACATTAGCTCTTTTCATCTTCATAATCCTACAAGAACAAATGCTTCCAAAGCAAACACACTGTGGAAAGAATGCCAATAAGGCCTGAAAACCAGTACGGTCTGGGAGTGTGAGAGACAGGAAGCAAAAAGGACGTGGAGTTTCAGAGCCACCCTTGACCTGTCCAGCTTGTGGCAGGAGCGCTTGCTTCATTTTACCTTTTGAATGCCATGATGCAGACAGACAACCTTTGGCTTCAAAGGTTGGACCTGGGGCTTTTGACCAGCTTGGTACCCCTGCTGTGTCCAAGAATCCCCTAGTGATGGAGACGTCTTCTACTCTGAGCCCAGCCCAACTCTCGGAATCCTTTTCAACCCACGTTCTAGAGAGACTGTCACAATGGATGGGGGAGAGTTGGCTGATAAGACACAAGCCATTTGCCAACCCGGGGCCAATGTTTCAGACGCTGGGATGGAACCTGCCTGGGACTGACTCTATCATGATGTCTGTCTATAATCCCCTGTGCCGATGGCTCTTAGGCTAACCTGGAGAGAAATAAAACCATCCTGACCTTACTTACAACTTCCTTTTCTTTTACTGTCCTTACCTGTCAGGTATGTTTGCTCATGGATTTCCGTGATACTCAAGAGCTCGGCATTTTGTTGTTGGCAACTTCTCCTCGCCTGATGCCAAGTTAGAGCCGATTTGGAGTTTATCTGGTAGGAGATGCTAGTCAGCGGGTCTTTGTTCCATAAGCTTTCACTGCCCTCAACTGTAAAAGAATCAAATGGAATTGGCTGCATTAGGCACAGAAAAGACTTTTGGGGAACAATATTGAGCATTATTGCCTGAAGCTTCTTTCTTTCCTTTCCCTTATTTTTAAAGTGCCTATGAAATTTTCCTCACTCCTTTAGTGAAGAGGGGAGTTTCCAAAAAACTGACCACATCCATTCTTTTCCTATGCCTAAGAGAGGAAAGAGAGGCATCATCTCCCTGTTTTTCCATCCAGAGGTTTGGGATCAGGTGAGTTGGGATCAGGTGAGTTGCAAACAAGCAAGAATACAGATGCCGGCTCAACTCTTTAGTCTAGAAAAAAATACAAGGAAAAGAGAAAATATGTCTTCTCGCAGCAAGTGAATATTCAGCCTGCACATTCTAGTTGGTCTTTTTAGACCAAAGTCATAGGCATTAGAAGGTAAAGTCATGGACTTTGGGCCAGGCTGCCCTGGGCCTTCATTCAGGCCATGTCAACTCACTAGTGATTTGTCCTTAAATTATAAACCTCTGAAATCTCATTTTTCCATCTCTAGGAGATTTTAAATCTAGGTAGCACCAGGCAATAATAGAGGCTGATTGTTAGTTTTTCTTCCTTCAGAGTAAAAAATAATTCTTTTAGCTTATTTTTCCTTTGTCATTTTATGATTCCCAATATGCTCTATAAACTCTGTTGTACCTTATGAAAGGTCAATAGTGTAGATAAATATTATTTATAGTGTGCTACATATAAGATGTTGGAGGGATTAGTCAACAAATGAAATATTTTTTGTGCTCTGCGTTATGAAATTTTCCCTCTTCTCTTTTTAATAATATAAACTTCTACCTACAAATCATAGGTGGTAAGAATTTCTTCACTTGTCTGTAAGAAAGAGAAGGAATTGTGTAACTTTTCAAATTTTCTAAGAAGTGTTCAACCTGTCAGGATGTTGGCCAGTTTCCAATAAGCATGTAGTCTGTGCTGCCATGAAGCTTCATATGTGACAAGGAAGTGGCCTTTTTTATCCACGTACCACAGAGTATGATATGAAACTTGTGGTTCCATTGCACACCAAAGAGGAAGAAAAATAAATCAAAATTCCATTCAGGCAACAACACAGAAACTTCTAAGAAGTATTCACTATAAAATTATTATATATTTATATAAAAATAAATTTGAGGGGCCCCTGGTTGCCTCAGTTGGTTGAGTGTCTGACTCTTGATTTTGACTCAGGTCATGATCTTGCCATTTATAGGATTGAGCCCTGCATTGGACTCTGTGCTGACAGTATAGCACATTCTCGGGATTCTCTGTCCTTCTCTCTCTCAAAACAATTAATAAATAAACTTTAAAAAATATATACAAAATAAAATACATTTGAATTGGTAATGTTAAATTTAAATGATCATGAGCTGAGACCTTACTAGTTCCATATCCAAATGGATTCTTGTCCATGGGAGTGAGACCATTCAAATCAGACTGGTTTGAAGTTCATTTGAAGATGGAGAGGTTTTAAATACATATTTTTAGAAATGTGGAGATCTGATATGGTAGAGAATGTGAGACATTAAAAGAAAGGAGGGATTATTTTCATGTCTGGGGATATACATGATCATAGAAGGGAAAGCAATATGACTCTTCATTTTTTAAAAAAGTGTATTTGGCTCTTGAGATCAAGGAATTGCAATCTATTTCTCACTGAAGGTATAGGTTTGCTGACTGTACATCTCCCCTAATGTTCAAATTCCCACAGTTAACCAGCCCAACCGATGCGGCAAGCTAAAGATGCAAGCTATGGAGAATCCAGAGGAAGGGTCTTTTCCTTTTCCGGTACTTTAAAATAGATGTCTGAACCGAAGGGAAACACTATAATAAACAGTGCAAAGGACAATGAAAAGCACATATGAAAGTGTCACTAGGTCAATAACCGGTACCTCATCTTCCTGTATTAAACCTGCTAGTTTGAGGCTAACGTAAAATACAATGGTCTTTGGAAAGGAACCCAAAGCAAGGAAAATGAAGTAGACTGGGAAATTGCAAAGCCCTTTAAGAAAGGCATGGGATGTATAAAATGTGCTTTAAATTTTGAATCCATGTTGAAATCAAACAATTTATTTCCTATAGCTATCTTATTTTTACATTTAACAAGAAAAAATATATATACATGGATTTTGACGACATAAATTACAAGTATTCAAGAGAATACTCAGGGCACCCATCCAACACACATCTATCCCAAGGCTGTGAGGTGTTTGTGTGGGTTTTTGTGTGTGATTTGTGACTAACCATTTGTCTTCCATTTAATGACTGATTAAGTCATACTCCTTCATCAATGCCACTTAAGTCCAAGATGCTATAGTTAGGCCTATGGAAATTGCATTCCAAGAAACTCCATGATAACAGATTTAGAAAATACCATTCCTACTAAAGTAAAGCTGAAAGACACCCCTCACCTTTGGAAAACAAGTATTGCTTTATCTTAGGCAAAAAATAGCTGGATTCAGACAAAAACACTTCTAATACAGAGATCAGACATCTAGAAATCTTTCGTGGGAATCAGACCTCTAAAATTATCCTAAGAGACGTGAGTACAATTACTTCCCCCAGGAACGGGAGAGCAGTGTCACTGTGAATGGGAAGCCTGTGAGTTTTTGTTGATATTCACCTAGAACAGAGGGATAGCACCCAGGAGAGATAAAGAAATATGGTTCTTGGAATTCTGGCCTTAATTTGAAAAACTACAATATTTTTGTGGATTATTTCACAATATTGCTCAGAATAATGTGACTGTTGGGTGGGAGGCACGGTCCCAAAGCTTCAGCTGTAGCAACGCTATTGCAGTTGAGGTGGGCTCACAGCCAGGCCAGATGGCGCGTGCACCCGGATTCTATCCCTGATCCCACCCCTGTGCAGGCCAGCAGGAGAGATTGTTCTGGGCAACAGCATAGAATGGGAGCTGCTGCAAACCAGAGAGTCTGAAGGAGCAAGGGGGTCAGGGAGTAAGAGATTTAGGGAATGGAAGAGGAAGGGGGTAGCTAGCAGCAGGTAGAAGATGTGGGGTAAAAGGAAAAGTGAAGCAAAGAACCCCACCCTTGTCTCCTTCTTCACCCCAGCCCTGCCTCCCCACGCTGATGCTCTCCTCCATCTCCCCTAGACCTGCTACACTGTTTCTTTACAGCTTCTCAAGTATGGAGAGAATCCTAAGAACTCTTACGTTCTGGTCACTCCCATGGATACCATGCCAAGACACTTGTTTTTGTATTCCTGCAATAATACTTATATTTTCATTTTAAAAATCCTTTGAGCATAAAAATAAGCCTCTTCCATTTGATTCAGAGCTATGTTAAATTAAATGATACTCTTTTTAAATGAAGTTAAATTTACTGTCATTACTATCACTTTCACAGAAAAGAGACACAAAAGTCAGGAAGCCCTCACCTCTCTCTCTCTCTCCATCAAACCACATGCTCATGGCATTGTTTAAGCTTATTTTTGATCTGAAGGTTAATAAGGCAGAGCAGTATTAAGTATACATTACATCGTCTATAGGACAATTTGCCCTAAAGTCTTAACAAATAACTTCCAGGAACAGGAGGTGAAGGGAAGAAACAGTTGGTGGGAATAAAGATCCCATGTGATGCCGCCCAGGGCTGAGGGTCAGAAGACCTGCGTTCCGGTCTTCAGCAGATATGGATCACTTTCTCCATTATAAAATGGGGACAATGACGTCTGTACAGGGTTGTGGTGGAGTGTGACAAGATAATAACAGGGAAATTGCTTTGGAAGGGAAAACATTCAACAAAGTGAGGACTGATGGGTGTGGGGGTGGGGAGAGATGGGCATGGAGGAGGGCACTTGTGGGGATGAGCACTGGGTGTTATATGGAAACCAACTTGACAATAAACTATTTGTAAAAAATAAATAAATAAAACATTAAATAAATAAATAAATTTCTTACACACACACACACACACACACACACACAAAAGGAAGGGAAAACATTCTCAACAAGCACAACATCAGCTCGTTATGTCGCCGCGTTAAAACGTGCCAAATTTTCTTGATGGGAGCATTACTTACATTTCAATGGACAATATCCAAAGAGCTTGTCTGTATCGTAGTCTGGGGTGGTCCCACACCAGAGCCATCCATCTGATCGCCCAGCACTGGTACAATCTGCATACCACTTGTTTTCAAACTTGAATGGAAATGCGCAAGTTGCTCCATTGGCATTGCCCAGCAGCGTGTACATGTCTAGAAGAGACAGAATGACTTGCACTTAGAATGTCAGTCCGTCTTCTGAATGTGGACTTTCCAATGAGAAGGATGCCGAAAGAAGATCCCCTTTGATGTCCCCACACAGGGAATTTCTTTCTATTTCCCTTCCGTCTCTACCCCAGCTTCTTGCTGAGTATGCACAGCAAACTCTAATAGGAACAGCTCTAGGACCACTTCATTGCTGCTCTTTTAGGACAGATTTTCCTCTTTCCCCATGTGAGGCAAAAGTAGTCAGCTGTACTGACACCTACTTGGACTTCTGCATTCCCTCCAAAACAGAGAAGAGGCCATCCTTCCTCTTGCTTGGAATCACAGAATTATTGAATCTCTCGATTAAAAAAGAATCTTATAACTGTGTAACTCAAACGCACAGTCAAAACTTAAATGCCACCCTACGACTTCCTGTCAGGCCAGCCTCCCCGGGAGTCCCTGAACAATGACTATGAGAAAGGGTTGGAATTTGGGCATAACTCTCTAATCCCCATCGCGGAAAGAAAGCACTCCGAACCATTTACGATCAGTATTTGCTTTCTTAAAACTGAATTCAAACACAACGTAATGGGAAGTTCTGGGTTTACCTAGAAAAGAAAACGGAAATAAACACAAATTCAATGTTGATTATGGTTTGGCTTACACCAAAGGATTCAAGAAGCTTATATCTCCATTGACAACCACTCCATGCCCCTCGTTACATGCTCTAATCTGTTTAATGTCTCTATCTTTCTACAGACACCTTTTGGGGAAATAACAACCTTCTATAGCGACGTATTCAGCCTTTTGCCACCAGCTGTTATTCAGAATTTGTCCTAGATGAAAATACTCCTTCCTTAATTGAGTTCTATAGATTCTATGCCTTTAAGCAGTTCTTCAAAGACATCTCAGGGCACCTTGGTGGCTCAGTTGGCTAAGCATCTGACTATTGATTAGGTCATGATCGCACAGTTTGTGGGTTCAAGTCCTGCTTCAGGCTCTGTACTGACAGCATGGAACCTGCTCGGGATTCTCTCTCCTTCCCTCCCTCTATCTCTGCCCCTCCCCTGCTGATTCTCTCCTCTCTCCCTCTCTCTCTCAATAAATAAACTTAAAAAAAGATATCTCAAAATTCACTTAGACAATATAAAGTTTGTAAAACATATAGCACAATACCTAACATATCTTAAAATCATGATGCATGTAAGTTCCTTTCCCTCTTTCCTTTCCCCTGACTCACTGTACTTATCCAGTCCTTCTGACAAAGCTAGGTTTATTTTCATTTAACTCAAAATTACTTTTTTGCTGATTATCTAGTAGTTAGGCACTGCAAAATGCACTTCTGGCTTTTGTGCCATTAAGTTCCAGGACCAGGTTTCCAAATCATTTCTCGTATAGGGAACATGCTAGATTTAGATACAATTATGCCACTCTTAACCACTGGAGTTCCTGTTCCTTCATATGAAGAAAATCTCTTGAGACTACCTCAGGAATGGTTGAACCGTTCATTAAATTGGCCAAGAAATTGTCAGTACTGGATGTGGAGATCAGTCAGAAATTGACTTTTCAAGACTAGCCAGTTGTATTTAAGAATGCCCTGATGCAGCCAAAAGAACCACATTCTAGTCCAGCCACCTTTCACTGGCAAGCCATGTTATGGTGGTCAATGTTTCTTCCACTGTGGTCCAAACTCCCACACAACACTTTGATTCTTCTAAGTCTGTAATTCTGATTCTGTTATTAAAAGTAATTCCTGACCTCGGCGAGTTGTCTCCCCCAAGTTTTCTTTAGAGAGATGGGCTCTACCTATACCCCCTCTCTGCCTTGTCTTCAGATCGTAGGTATACTCCTGTGAGTCCATCCCAAGATCATTCTGAAAGGCTAGATCTCCCAGAAGGAAGATCCTAAGTATTCAGGGAGAATTGGAAAGCAGACAGTGTGGTCTATGGACCACCTTCATCCAAGCACTCAGGTGTTCATAAAAGTAATTCAATAGATTCTTAGATATTTCCCCTCATGTGCTAATTTAGAGTCTGGGTAGGTGGGGAACCTTGTTATCTTCACTTGTAACAAGCTTCCTGGTGATTCTTAAGCATATTTAAAGTTTGAGACCTGCTATCCTAAACCCTATGCATATTTTTCTCAAACTGAGCTGAAGACAAAGGGTGGTGGTGGGTAATGGGCAGGTCTATGTAATCTCAGTGATGTATTTTTAAATAAGATAAGAAGTCCCATGTCTCAGCACCAATCTTCCGTGTTTGGAACCCCTCAGTTAGGACTCTTGTCTGGTCTGTGGAATTTGACTCAGTCAACTTTGGTTCACTCTTGCCTGGCTGTAGTTTTCATTCAAGTTTCTCCTGAAATGTTATCTCCCTTAGAACTTCTAAACCTTCAGTATGTTCACTCAAGCCTCAGAAGAGTCTCTTTCTGAGCCCTTGTTCTCATTTTTCTTCAATGTCTACTCTCCCTCTTCTTTATAAAGAAAGAAAATGGATGGGGCGCCTGGGTGGCTCAGTTGGTTAAGCGTCCAACTTCAGCTCAGGTCATGATCTGATAGTTCCTGTGTTCGAACCCCGTGTCGAGCTCTGTACTGACAGCTCAGAGCCTGGAGCCTTTCTGTCTCTCTCTCTCTCTGTCTCTGTCTCTCTCTGCCCCTCCCCTTTAAAAATAAATAAACATTAAAAAAATGTTTTTAAGTAGGAAAATGGAAAGTTGAAATATTATGGCCTCACAAAGACTGAACTCCTGAGCTCTGATTAGCTATGATAACCAGGTTCAAGCAATCTTTGCAGCCCCAGTAACATAGTAATTTTGGAAACAGGTAATCTCTTATCCCCGAAGGCAGGCTCTTCCTCTGACCTTGAGGCTGTTGTAGATAACACTCCCAAATAATCAAGTGTCCAAACCTGGAATGTGGTGATAACATCATCTGACTCCAGAAGACTTTGTAAACGGCTTCAAGTTCTGCTTTATCTTTGTTTTTTTGTTTCTCTGCAACCACCAGAGAATGAAATTTGGCCAAGATCACAGAACGCGAAATACTCTGATTTTATTGAACCTTCAAGAGCTTAAGGAACCAACCTCATAAAAAAGCCTTTTCTGTCCCACATGCGACACCACTTTCTAAAATAGCTAACTAAATATGTCGTATGTCAATGTACAAGCCAATTCCTCAGCTTTTTTAATCTTTCGATTACCATAGCCTTTTACTACCCTACCTGTAAAGTGCCAAAGAAACATTCAGAAACCTAAAAGGTCAAGGAATGCCAAGATTTCATTTCAGGCAATCTGACTTGGTAAAGAATGTTCTTCCGTGGATCATTTCTCCAAGGATAACTTAAACCAAAGTATAAGAAATGTGTGGTTAAATTCATTTATCACTGGAACCATATAATGTCACACAGGAGGCTTTGGGTCAAAGATTATAGTGAAAATAAACTTCTAAAAACTGTAATCTATCATTTAAAAAAAAAAACCTTAGCCAATTAAAAAACAAATAGCACAGTCCTTCCATTAATTATAAACCACTAAAGTATCATTCCGGACTTTTTACCATATTTATCCACTGTCATGTTCCCATAAAACACAGAATAGTTCAAAACACAAACATCAATTAATAATTCTACCACAAACTAGACAAGAATATGCCTATTTTCTTCAATTAGGTTCCAACAAAGAAGATGAGAAAAATGTGACAGAAAGAAGGCAAGCCAATCCGTAATTCTTACCTTCGTAACCCCTGGCGCATAAATCATCTGTGGATCCATAGATTTTCCATCGGCTCCACAAGCCAGAGCCCTTGTAAAGCATAATATTCTTCTCTTGTTTGTTGCCATAGTTAAAAAATAAATCTTCTCCCTTGATACCCAAAAGCGTGTCATTTTTGCACTCCCATTTCTGAAATTCACTCCTCGGATCACAGGCATACAGAGTGACAGCAACCCAGTCTGTCTTTGATGGGACCCCCAGACATAACTTAAATGCCACACTCATAATCCGGGAATCAGACACCCATCGGAACTTCTGCGCTTCGTTGTCCTGATTGCAAATGGCTGTTTGGACCGCACTGGGACTTACTACTTCCACGCAGCGCTTGTGGTCTTCATTATATATTAAAAATTGCCTTGTGTCTGCTTAAAAAAAAGAAGAAGAAAGAAAAGATGCTTAAGTGGATGCATGTGAAAGAATATTTTAGGTCAAAATTCCCAATGTCTCCTCCATAAAACTGATCGCAGGAGAAGGGGTGATATGGATTCTGCTTGAGACAGCTCAGCTCTCTTGTGGGGGAGGGGGGGTCCTCCTTCAAGGGGGTCCTTGAAGCTAGAGAGAGAGAGAGAGAGAGAGAGATGGGAGTGGGGGGACAGTCCCATGCCCCCAGCAATCGACTGGAAATCCTCAAGACAACGGTTTTCACTATGGGGAGCACTGCAAAAAGGCCTGCCTTAAATGCACATAAATGGTAGTGCAGTAAACATAAAACGTAGATAACAGAGAAACAAATAATACCCATCTAAGAAAAGAAAAATTAGATATGAATACAATAAGCTATAAAATTAAGTGCATGGGTACCCTGGAATAGAATTTTGAAGTCTGATTCATCGCTACTCTGTTCAAGATAGAGGAAACTCTAATCATTTGAATTATAACATTAGGGAGGTTCATTGAAACTTAGTAACTGATTTTATTTTAGGAAGTTTTTGCCTTTATATCCAGCAAATTTTTGAACAAAGCACTTTCTGGAGAGCCCTACTCGAGAAGACCTTTGTTTTATTTTGTTTTGTTTTCTCTTGCAACAATAGGGAGCTTAGAGATCTAGCAACCAGAGGTGAGTTAGTCTCTATTATACAGTTTTAACTTGCATTTTATTCGCATACTCAAGGCGGCCTTTGTATAAAAAAAGATACAAAAATATACCTGTGACAGTATCAATGTAACTGTCAAGTTAGCAGTAAAAGTTAAATAGATGTAAGTTTTTATATCATTCAAGGTAATATTTATGAGGATAACTGCATATAACGGTGTTGTTCTATACTTGTAGTTTGGGGCTGATGATTGAAATTAGTATGTGTAGATGTTTTATACTTATAGTACAGAGCTGCTAGCTGACAAAACTGAACTTCCTCTTGCCAAAAAAAAAAAAAAGAAGAAGAAGACAAAGAAAAAGAAAACAAAAAAAGGGTCTGGTAAGCATCTTTTCCCCCTTACATCAAAACTGAATTCAGGTAAAGGGTTTTCTTTTTTGTTTATCTTTTTAATAATAGACAAACGGAAAGAAGTGACTTTTCGTTTTACGACCGAAGTATCAAACCCTACTTCTGAAGTGTTACTAAATTCCTCCTACTTAAGTGTTCTTTCAAAATGAGCCAGTTAGTATTGCAGATGTTTGAGGGTCTGACCAAATTAGCTCATTATTTTTAATCAAACTGTTTGTGAAATATAGCAGAGTAATAAAAGTACCACTAGCAGAGTCCTCCGCAGTTTACAAAACATTTTCACAAGCCATATTCTATTTACTGTCCTCAACCCCCCTGGGGGGTTAGAGCCACTTACATTCTGAGGTCTGTTCTTGGACCATCAACTTAGGGCTTACAATGGACGTTTGCCTTAAAAGATTCTTTTCGCTGCCGCCCTCCCGTATCTGCTCTGGTCCCGCACTTGTGAGAGGCCTCCTCCCTCTAATCCGTCTGGGTTCCTAATTTGGTGCCACTGTGAACCTTAGCCGGGGTTCCTTGGCTGGGTTTCTCATTTCTGCTGGTTTGATTTCTTGGAACTGGGACTCAATAGAGTGTCTCAGTTCAGAACACCTGCTTCTGCCAGCTTCTCCGGAGTTGACATCTGTCAATGGAACTCGCGATGCCCAAACCACAGCCCCTCCCATCCAGCCGAACTCCTTCCCAGAATCGACCTCATCTAATCGCTGCCCGTGTCCTTGTGTGACAAGGCGAGGAATTTTCTGCATTGCCAAGAAAATGAAAATACTCATAATACGGTGTTTTGTTCACGGTAAAGCACAGGAGATAGGAAGACAAAAGGTTTAAACATCAGTCCCTATGATAATTTACCATATCCGGATGTAAATCTAGGCTCCTCTAATTGAAAATGGTGACAAAGTCTGGGGGCGCGTGGGCAGCTCAGTCGGTTGGACATCCGACTTCGACTCAGGTCATGATCTCAGGGCTTGTGGGTTCAAGCCCCATGTCAGGCTCTGAGCTGTCAGCACAGCTGACACTGCTTTGGATTCTGTGTCTCCCTTTCTCTCTACCCCTCCCTTGCTCATGCTCTGTCTCTCTCTCTCTCTCTTAAAAATAAATAATACTTAAAAAATTTTTTAATAAAAAAATAAAATGGTAATGGAAGTCTGAAAATTCTATCATATAGATCTGTGAGCTCAACTCTAACCCCTTTACCTTTGTGTTTTCTATCTCACCTGTTGTTTTCCTATCTTGACATATCTTCCACTCTTCAGACAGTTTTGCTGAGTAACATCTATCTCATCAACAATATCTTCCACCTCATATTTCAGCATTATAGAACAGCCAGCATTTATTAGCCACCTAAATTCAGTCACCCAGCCAGCTTTTAACAGCCATTTAAGGCGCTTGAACATCTTTATGCACAGATGGTGTTCTTCTTTCAGAGGTTTTTATTTGACTTTTATTTTATGTCATTAATTTTTATCTGTGGGTCCATCTTAATTTTTCTCTACATATGGCGGCATTGAATGAGCAAACATCCAATCTTCTGTTTTTCATTAATGGCACCATCTTCCATTTATATCTATAAGCCGAAAACCTAGGACTCACCATCAATTATAAGAATCTCTTGGCTCTACCCAAAAATATACTGTGATAGGTAATTTTATGTGTCAGCTTGGCTAGGTCACAGAGCCTAGAAGTTTGTTCAAACACCAGTCTGGGCGTTGCTGTGAAAGTTTGTTTGCTGGATTGATAAGAATAACATGTGAATCAGTAAAGTAGATTACCCTCCAAACTGTAGGTGGGTCTCTTTCAGTCAGTCGAAAAGCTTTAGAGATAACAGACTGAGGTCCCTGAAGAAGAAACAATTCTACCTCCAGACTGCCTTTGGACTTGAACTGCAATATCAAGTCTTTTTTGGGTTTCCAGCCTGGCAGCCTGCCGTTGTAGATTCTGGTCTTGACAGTCTTCACAACTGCATGAGGCAATTCCTTAGATATTTCTCAAAAGATAGGTAGAAGATGATGATGATAGAGAGATAGACAGATAGACAGTGGAATAATAGATAATAGGTGGATAGATAGATAATAGGTGGCTAGATAGATAATAGGTGGATGGATGGATAGATAATAGGTAGATAGATGATAGAGAGAGAGAGATAATAGGTAGGTAGGTGGGTAGGTAGGGAGGTAGATTGATAGATAGAGATACACACACACACACACACACACACACACACACACCCTTTTGGTGCTGCTTCTCCAGAGAACCCTGACTAATACATACACTCTCATCCATTCTTTTCTGTCTGTCTCCATGGCCACCGCCCTAGACTATGCCACCATAGTCTAAACTCTGGTCTTCCTCTCTTTGAAACGCAATTAGCAAAGAAGATAACACCTGATCTGCCCATTTCCTGGGTGAGAAGGGCCTAATTTGCCACCTGACTCCAAATCGAAAAACCTACCTACAGTAATGGGTTGTTCCCACTTCACCCTATAAAGGAGTCAGGCTTCTTTCTGCTTCTGCAGCCTCCGGAGCAGATTGCCTGTGATGTGCATTGCATTCTGGCCGAATGCTCCTTCAGTCATACAATTGTTCTTTTTCTTCTACCTTTGTGGAAAGGTTTTCCAGGTTGAGAGGAGATTTTGTTTTTAATTACATTTTCCCAACCATTTACACCCTTTGAGAGTGTGCGGCTGCGCACGGGAGAAAACCTGCAACGTCCCCATCGCAGCTCACCAGAAGAAGCACGATCCAGCCCCGCCGCGCCTGCTCTCACCCACCACCTTCCAGCCACAGGCCTTTCTGTTCCTCAAACACTTAGCGTCCACTTTGGAAGCTTCATATTTCAAGTTCCCTATTCTTGGAATGCTCATTGAGGTTCCAGGTCAAGCGTCAACTCCTTAGTGACCAGACTATCCTAATTTTGCTCTTTTATTTTCTATATAATATTCACAACATCTTAAAATACATTCTTTTTTAAAAAAAAATCCATTTCATTATCAGGACGCCAGGGTGGCTCAGTCGGTTAAGCATCCAACTCTTGTTTTTGGCTCAAGTCATGATCTCACAGTTTGTGAGTTCAAGCCCCACATCAGGCTCTGGGCTCACAGTGCAGAGCCTGCTTGGGATTCTCTCTCTTTCCCCCTCACTGTGCCCCTCCCACACGTGCTTTTTTTCTCAAAATAAATATATAAACTTAAAAATTCCATTTAATTATATTTGTCTGTGTCCCACTACTGAAATGTAAATTTCACAAGCAGAAAGACTTAGTACTTTCTGGCTCAGTACTCTATCCTCTCTTTTTGGAGCATACTAGCCTCTCAACAAATAATAGTTGAAGGAATGAAAGAATTATTAATTAAGTCTAAAGCATTTTGACTAGTAAATTTTATTTAATTTTATAGGTTATTTTATTTAATAATTGACTAATGATGATGAGAATATTTAATATGACTTTTCCCCCTGAAAGTTTATTTTTACTGAGAGAAATTTGTAAATTTTTATAAAAGGAGTACTTGGAGGGGCACCTGGGTGGCTCAGTCAGTCAAGCTTCTGATTTCAGCTCAGATATCATGATTTTACGGCTCATGGGTTCAAGCCCCGCGTAGGATTCTGTGCTGACAGCTCAGAGCCTGGAGCCTGCTTCAGATTCTGTGTCTCCCTCTCTCTCTGCCCCTCCCTGCTCATGGGCGCGTCCTTTCTCTGTCTCTCTCTCTCTCTCCCCCTCCCCCCAAAATAAATAAACATTTAAAAAAATGTTAAAGGAGTACTTGGAAATGAAAAGCTTCTATTTCAATTTAAACTTATCTATTCTGATTTCCTTTATTTATCTTTGACAGTAGGGAGCAGTGCAAGTTTGATATTGCTTTTGCTAGACAATATAAGGAAATGTAAAATTATCACTTTAGGATTTCACAGTCATACACTATTCC